CTGGCAATTCACTTCTCTCCACCTGTAATTGAGAAAGCTGTTTCATGAAGTGACTCAAACCCTGAGCAGCTCCCAGCTCTGCAGCAGCTGATGAATATGCATGTCCTGGGATTTACATTCCGTGGCAGCGTGAAGACAGGATGTCAAGCAAATGAGTTATGAGAAATGTTGCCCATGCAAATGTTGGCCCTGCTCGAACTTCTCACCCAAACACTCGTCCCTGAAGCCATTTCTGTCATTCTCTTTATTTGCATTGGAAACGTGGTAACAAATCAGTGTAACTTGATGCTAATCGAGCCTGTTTCTATGTGGACAGGATGGACTCCTGAATACATCTGTGATAAGAGTGGAGGCCTCAACTAATGAGGGGACAAAAAAAAAATATACAGAAGTCCTGCCAAAATCCTGTCAGGTCATGACATTTTGGAACTCTCCAAACCCACATCTCCTTCATTGAACTTCCCAGCCCTTACCTGAACAAGGCTTGTTATTAGACAAACCACCACAGCTCTGCAGGAACAGAAAAGCTGCTGTTTTCACTCCTGGTTTCGTTCTCACAGGTTCCTGCTTTTCAAAAGGGGGAGCAGGAGCTGCAAGCAGGACAGCCAAGAGTGGCCAGAGCTCCTCAGGAGAGACTGGGAAAAACCCGTTTGTTCAGGCTTTGCAAGCTTCAGTAAAATGGAAACTTCAGTAAAATGGACTGAAGTGAAGCTTCTGGATTCTCTCAGGTTAGGAAGAGGGGGTTAAAAAAGTCATCCCTAAGTGTCACCTCACCTGCTCCTGTTGGGCTCCAGGTCACCCATGTCCTCCTCCATTCCAGGGAGCTCCAGAGGTCCTTCACTCCCAGACTGAACCCCCCATGCCATGCTAAGCAAGGGGAAGTATCACATTTTAAAAGCCTTCTTCTGCTTTAATATGAAGGTGCCTCACGCAGGAAGATCTTCACATTCACTTCTGCTCCTCATGCACCTGAGAGGCCAACTCCATCCCAGAGGAGCCAGGGGACAAAGTGCCTCTGGCCTCCAGGTTCCTCCACTCACAACAAGGCTTTATGAACAAGGAACTCATCCACTTGTGATGCACCTTGGGCAGGAAAGTGAATTATTCCACAAACTGTGGGCAAACCAATGTAATGGCTATTTAACTGCTCTTCAAAGAGGCCTCTCAGCGTGAGCTGCTGAGATGGCAGAGCCCAGGGCAGCTAACAAAGACACCCTCTGCCAGCAAACACAGAGTCAGTCATTTTGTTTGGTCATTTATGGCTGCTTTAAACCCCCCTCCCTCCCAAACTCTGCAGGAGAACCCAAGCCTGTGTCTACTGGGGCATCCTGATCTGTTTACAGGCAGAATTTAAAAGCACACACTAAGGTTCTCCTTGGTCCTTTTGCATGCACACCCCTCCTGAGCAGACTGCAGCTCTCCAGTTATTAAGAAATCCATTTTCTACAGGATTTCAGTCCATAACCACCACTGCCATTCAATGCTAGACATTTGAATCCCTCTCCCTCAAAAATATGAGCAGCTTCAGAGCAGGTTTTCAGGTGCAGCAACTCACACTCCTGTTTCCTCCCACAGGACTTCACCACATGTCCCCATGTCTTCAATTTCAAGATGCAAAACACCTTGTTTTCCCTCCCAGGCCCAAGCAGCAAGGCTGAATGGCTGCCACAAAAACCTGCCCCTGGACACTCTCCTACAACTGGAATGTGGTTCAGAGGGGATTTCTTAGGGTTACTGAAGTAGATACCTTCAGAGTAAGCAGGGTCCATCAGTTAAAGAATCACACGGGTTTTAGGGTAGCAAAATCCACATTTTCTCTCAAGTGTGCCCTTGTGTCAAAGGTTTGGAGCTCACCATAAATCCCCCTCCCCAGGACATGTCCATCAACACGGGGGTGCTCAGGTTAGTTGAAGTGACCACTGGATGTCACTATTGCTTTACCCAAGGCCACCTTCTGCTGGCAGGGGGTTGGAAAGTTACCACCTCAACACCCATTTATTTTCTGTGTGGGCGACCAGGATGTCAGCAAGAAATCTCCAGCCACTCGTTTTCACTACACAGAGGTTTATTATGAAAGTTAAACATACAACACAAAAAAGAAGTAGCAAAAGCAAACCTGTAGCTTTAAGGCAACTCTTAACAGGAGATGAACTCGAGGAAGATGATGCAACTTCAGTTTAAATAGAAATCATGAAAAATATCAAATTGCATCAATAACTTAAAATGCACTTTTAAAAGTCTGCACTAACCAGCAGAGGGGAAGGGCCTGTGATCTTAATGCCAGCATTAAGACATGGAAAGCAGCAGAATGCTAAGTGATGATAGGGAAAAGTCAGTATTTACAGAGAGATAGCAACCTTAATATCTGAATAGCATAATTTCCTGTGTACTTCTGGTTTAAAACCACCGTCTGAAACGTTAGGAAAAACCTTCTTAAAATAAAATCTTCAGACTATTCCATCAAAAATACACAGATGGCAGAGAAGATCCAAGGCTGGGGGTGCGTGCGGATGCAGCCGTGTGTCCCTTAAATAACTCACTGCAGAAACACTTGGGAATAATTCTTTCTTGGGGGGGGGGGAAGAGCAGCAAGAAGAACAACGTGGCCACAGAGTGACAAAGGTTCTTTCAGGTGAATCACATTTAAATGGAAGTACCAAAAGATTTGTATTTGATGACATTCTCACAGTTTACAGTTCTTGACATTTGGAAGTGAATGTTAAATATTCATATTATTAACACACAAAGATTCTCCTTCACATTGACACCTGCTTCCATTTTTGCAAGACCTCTTTTGCATCCATTGTTTTGCCATTAATGAGGCATTTAATTACCTTCATTGTAGAATTTAAGACTTAATTCTTCTAACCACACAGTTTCTAACCTTCCAAATCATCCTTAAAATACTGAAGGCATTGAAGAGACATTTTAATTCATCAGGCTGTACAGGAAGCACCAGATTTTTTAAACAAAGCCAAATGATATCACATTCCCAATCCATTTTCTGCAACTATTGGATGCAAGGAAAAATTTGGAACAAGTCCACTCACCATCACCCCAAGGAAAACAAAGTAATTCACACACAGATTTAACTCCTCCCAAGTCTCACCCTGTTAAAAAAAATGCAATAGATACTGCAATGGAGCTTTGATTTGCAGAAGATTTAATAGAAGTGTCCTCTGCACAGCATGAGATTATTTTTTTTCTGCACACAACCTCATCTCCACTCCTCCCCATTTAGCACAACTTTACAAAAAGCCTAAAGATACAAAATATACTGAAAGCAGCGATTTTAAAAATGATTTCATACATATCACCTTGGCAGCTGATGACTTTTGTTCCCAGCTTGACCTGCTGTTGAATCTGATTTGTAGAGTTGCAGTATCCCTTTGAACAACTAGTTAAAAAAATCCCTGAATAAAACAGAAGCCAACCTGTGACTTCCAAGGAGTTTCAGTAAAGTACTATATACAGGGGTATAACCACCCAAACTCACTTGAGACAGAATAAAATCTAGGACAGATACTGGGGCAGAATGTCTTCATGCATGAAAATATACATTTGATGATGGTTTTTTTTAATCATTTAAAAAGTGGAACCAAGGAATTGTTAGCAGTGAAAAGAATACTGCAACTGTAAGGTTTACAAACCCACCAAGTTTGGAAAGTGATTCCAACAGCTCTGGCTCACTGGGTTTAGCTTGGAAACAATGCAAAATCAGGGCAGCAGTTTCAAGAAGGTCTTGCAAATTCAGAGAAGAAGAAAACTGGAAGATAGGTAAGAATGCATATCTAAAAGAAAGCAGGAGCACAATAAGGACAATCAAAATTCAAAAAAAAGCCCATATTAAACAAAAAATTAAGCTTGGAATGCATTGGCTTCCAGCAGTTTACAACAACAAAAAAAATACAAATAAAACAAAGAGAAGTTTAAAATCTGTAATATTTTGACCTATTCTTGACTGACAATTTTTATTACAGTTGAGAAAAATGGTTTTATAGCTGCATAAGTTTCCATTTCACTAAAATAGTGCCAACAAAAAAAAACAAAACAAGTTTGCATAGAAACCCAAAATTTTCCAATTGCCACTGGCTACATGCTTCAAATGGGAAATGCAGGTATTGTAACATAAACATAGTGCAAACCATGGCAGCTCCTGGTGATTTTGCCTGCCGCAGGTCAGGAAACAGACCATAGTAATCCCAGGTATCACAGTTTCTGGTCTTGGATTCAATCCTTTGCCAGGTAGAAGCAATGCAGGTGAGCAGCCCCGTGGTGTGCCTGCTGCTCTTCCTTAACGCAGCTTGAGGTCATCACCACTTCCCAGGGTAGAGCCAGGGCTAGGGTCTTGCTGTCTTCTTGCCTGCATGAACACACACACAGGTTTAGCATCCCCCCCAAATATATATATATATATATTCAGAATTATCAGTCCAGTTCACTTCTTCAGTGTATTAACACGACTAATGACATAAACAATCATAAAGCTGCAACTTGACATTTCAAGCAGTGACCAACACGTTGGTTTTCATCAAAATAATTCCCCCCCTCCCTTGCAATTCAAAAATCCCCCAGAACCAACAGGAATCTTGCAGGAGGGCTGTGGATCCACCCTCTCTCCAGGGGGCCACAGAGCTCTGCCAGGTTACATCATTTCCAAATAAGTGTTTTCAAAGGGGAAACACTGACTTGAGCCTCTTCTGGAATGAGGAGACTTCAAACATCACAACACACTAGCATCATTTAGTCTATAGATTGAACACATTTCAACACTTAACAGTCGGGGCTTTACTGCAGGATATTTCTATTCCTTGGTGCACCTGTGAAGTTAGTAATACCAGAGAAATAACTGAGAAAACCTGGAAAACTGATTAAAAAATCTGATGTGTAATTGCACCCATCTATTAAATAAAGTAACACCAGTTCTCCTTTAAAGAAATTATTCTGTTAAACAGCTGGAGTTGATGGCAATTTAAAGATGGTCAATCATAGTAGTATCAATCATGCTGGAAGACACTATCTACTTCCTCGACCTGCACACATGCAGGGTATGATAACCTGGCTCTGTCTGCTCTGGTTTTCCTCTGACTGGAGGAAACAATCTGCTTCTCCTCCGTGCAAGAGTAACTCGGAACATGACAAAAGGCATCACTGCTGGTGCACAAACCCACAGATTTCTCAGTAATCTTTCTGAGGAATCACATCAAAAACAAACAGCTGTGATCACAGACAGCACTGAAGGGCTGAAGTTCTCAAGGGCCTTTTCCTTGCAGCCCTGAAGCAACTTGTGCAGATTGCAGAGGCTTGGGAGATGGTATTTAATGGAGATTTTCACAATATTTCCAAAAGCTAACTCATTCAGCTTTGACTATCAAGATTATGGTGGAAAAGTTAATGAGGGAAAGCCTCCACTTTTTTTTTTCATTCAACAGAAAAATAAACTCTGCTGTTTAAGATTTTTCTTAACACAAAATGGTTGTTCAACCAAGACTAAATAGATAATTCCACACTGTTTTCAGGCTGACAAAAGAATAACAGCTCCACCTTGAATACTTTTCTCCTATTGAACAGATTATAACCAAGGTTTCTTCTGGTTTTAACTGCTGCCTCTTTCTTCTAAAAGGAAACAAAACCATTCACTGTGTTCAGGAATTCCCCCAAATCTTCCTTCTACCAATCTAGTTACCAATTTTGTACTCGATAAAACATTTTGACACTTGACTAGAAAAAGCCAGCAAGTTAATTGCTGCTGTACTACTGCTCCAAAAGCAACTGAGTTTCTTCTGAAAACAAATCATATACACAGCAATTTTATTGTCAAATTTCAGTGAGGACTCCAAGGTATGGGCATATGGTTGCATTTATGCTTTGCTTAAAGTGGCCCTTTCTTTCAAAACATATGAAAGAATCCACATGATTCGTGACCTCATTGCTACTTGTGGAGTTTGCAGAAGCCACCACTGAATAACTACCAGATTTATCCTTTCAAGTGATATGCAGAAGGCATGACAAATTACCCTCCAGTGTACTGAAAGCACTCATTACAGGATCTTACACTACTGTGTGTGGAAAAAGGTGTAATTTTGCATTTCAGTCAGTGGGGATTTACACAAGCAACTGCAACGTGTTGGAATGACAGCCCCTTCTCCCTCACACACCCTCCTTCCTTGTGCTGTGCAGGGACACATGGATGTGAAGCACTATTTTATCAGTCACCACCCTGCCAAGGCACACGTGCGCAGCATGCAACAACTTCAGCTGTGCTTGGCATGATGAAAAAACCTGCAGAAACACTACTATCTAAAAAATAAACTCCTGTAACAGACAGGAGAAAGCCCTTTGGATGTGGACAGCAGGCACGCTGTAGTAGTATTTTTGTCCACTGACAACAGGCAAAATACAACTTTCCTAAGGGACACCACAAGATCCTGAACACTCATGTGCAGGAGGAGTGTAACTACCAGCAGGGTAGTACCTGGTAGTTCTCCCCAGTCTATTACAGAAAGCTGAAAGTTCTCTTTTACACATGTAAAAAATGGCAGTTTCTAGAATTTGCTCCATTTGGGGCCTCATCCTCTCAGCAGAGCTCATCAATCCCCTGGGCTGCAGGATTGGCTGCACTTTGGGAAAGGCACACCTCAGGATGCCATGCAAAAGCCTCAGAATTGCTCCCAGCAAATCATGAGCTCAGCTCCTCCAAGATTAAGGAGACTTGCTTCAATTAAGAAAGATGCATCTATCTTTGCCACTGGGAAATGGAAGGCTCTGCCATGAGTCATGAGAAAACACTTGGTTATTCATCTTACCTCAGCAAGTTGCAGCCAAATGCTGATTTTAAGTTTGAAGGAGAACTATTTCTGATGTTGTTTATCTGCTATTTAGTGAAAGGATAAATATTTGCTTGAGAGAGAAACTTGTAAATAGTACACAGATCCCACCACAGTTGGAACTCTCCTAAAAAATGAATGTGTTTTAAGCAATACTTTCAGTTGCCTTCCAAATACCCTGAAATTGAATAGTTAAATGTGATGGACACACTGGGAGTTTCAATACCCCAAAATGATTCACACACAGCTTTCAGCACATGAAGCCATGCAAATCTTCTGCAAGAAGGAAGGAATTATCACTGATTATCACTGGCCACAAGCCATTCTGAACCTCTAACCTTGGAGACTACAGAATACCCAACTGGAAGAATTGCAGGACCATATCTGGCAAAAAAAACTCAACTCATTTCAAAGCCTCCTCTAGCATTGCTGCTGTAGATTTATTCACTCTGAACTCATCCATAGGGGAAATAAAACAGAGAGAAAAGTCATCATGATAATTTCTACTCATGGGTAAATAAAAGGTGATCCCTGCAATACTCTCACATCTCTTCTTTCTTCAACCCTGTTATCTCTGAGCTTTTTCCACACCTAAATACAGGCTGTGGGAGTGGGCTAAAAGTCCTACCAAGAGAATGATGCAGTAATGGCTCTATTGCATTAATTTTCTTCTTAATAAATTAGGTAGCTTGAAGTCATCAAATAATTAGAACTGTGACTCTCTTAGACAAGGGTCATGTTGGAGCACTGACATTTGTTACTGAGGCACTTGGGTAAAACAGATCTAATAATAAATAGCAAATAAGGAAGGCAGCACACGAGCAGCTCCTCCAGCAGCCAAGACACCACCCTCTCCTCCTCCAGCCACTCAGTCCTGCTCTACACTGCAGCTGACTGTGCTTTCAACAGTGCCAATAAAGCTCCTCAGGTTGGCTTTGAAAAAGCACCTGTACTGACCCCCTTTCCTGGGCATGTTCAGCTGCCTCCAACAGAAACCAACTCCTTTTACCAGGTGAAGTAAAAAAAAAAAAATGCAAGTCCCACCGTGTGGTTTACATGACAGCTCTGAGAAAGCAGAGATGGGAAAGCTGGAGGTGACCTCAGTGAGGATGGACAGAGTTGCCATGAAGAGGACCCTCCCTTTCAGTGAATCACTTAAAAAAACCCAGCAGGCAAAGTGGGGAGCTGTGGACATGAGGCAGTGAAGTCATGGGAACAGCAGTGAACTTGGGACACTGGAGAAGAGGAGGGAAGGAAAGGGATGTAATTTGAAGAAGTAGCCAAAATCAAGTCTCTCCACGGACAACTCCACTGCAGTTCTTTAATTGCATTCTGGCAGCTCCATACTGCTGAGAGACAGAGCAGATGCATGATGTGCCTTGGCATCTGTCATCTATAATTTACTAAATAAGTGAAAAATCAGGCTATGTTATGAAAAACTAAACAGCGAACATTTGGATTCTCTTAGAAGGACTGTCAGCCTCCTGAAAAGGATTAAAAAAACCCAACAAAACTGAGAACACATTGCAGATACTTTTCTAAAAAGCATACAACCGCAGGGCAGGAAAAAAAACCCAACACAACAAAACCTAAACAAAAAACAAACCCAAACAACAAAACCCTGAAATAAAAAGAGCAATAGTCAGGAAAATGACCAGCTACCAGCAAGCACCCCTCCATCTTGGTGTTGCTGAGACAGACCCACTTCAGGAAAAGTCTTCTCTGAGCTGCTGGTTAATAAAAGCCTCTCCCACAGGGATTTGAGGATGGTTGAAGTGCTGGCTTGTGCCTCTGCTCCATTTCACCCACTCAACAGAAGAGCAGGGGTGGGGAAGCTCAGCCTCCTCCAGAACTGAAGTCAGCAAAATCAGGCCACTGCCACACAGTAGGAATGACAGCTTGTATGTAATAAAAACTTCTTTGTAGTTGTACCCTGATGGAGCAGCACCCTGTTTGCTTTCAGCTCTGGGGGGCTTGAAAATAGACTCTCCATCTTCACTTCTCAGAACAGATTTGGCTCCAGCAGCAAAAAGACCCCAACCCTACTAACTGCAGCACCTCTTAAGACTTGGTAGCCTAGATCCAGACTCTGGAGTCATTTGTTTGCTGGCCACAACATCCACTTTGCGATCATCTTTACTTTACACTCACACCTGGGAAGAAGTACCAGCCTTGATCTTTCAAGTATCACGTAAACTATGCAAATAATGAAACATGGTCTCAAATTTGGCAGGAGATCTGGCTGTTAAGACTAAAGTTCCTGTAGAATGATTGTTATGAACTCCATCCATAATGCTCTCTTTCCTGCAAACATTTTCATTGCCTTTGGAGCTCACTGGAAGTCAAAGCAAACAATTCTCTTGACAAAGGCCATAGATAAAAATCTTTTAGCACCCACCTCCACCAAGATTTCATTTCAAGCTTTCAACCACCTACTCTCTAGGCACAGGGAACCCTTCACTAAAACCACATCAACTGTGTTCATGGCTGGCTTTGCTCTCCCATCACCAGCTGCTGGAGAGCTACAGAGCGACCC